TCAAGATTGGGTTCTTGACTCCGGCGCGTCAACCCATCTCACACCGGACGTAACCTACCTTCAATCTCCTACTGCCTATCATGGACCCGATACAATATCTATTGCAAATGGTTCCTCTCTCTCCATTCAAAACTCTGGTGGGTTCTTAACTCCGGCGCGTCAACCCATCTCACACTGGACGAAACCTACCTTCAATCTCCTACTGTCTATCATGATCCCGATACAGTATCTATTGCAAATAGTTCCGCTCTCTCCATTCAAAACTCCGGTCAAGGCATCCTTCTGCTTCCCGATACTCCTCGGAAGCTTCGTCTTTGTAATCTTCTTCATGTTCCATCGCTCACACACAATCTTTTATCTATTTCTAAACTCACCTAAGATAATTCTGTCTCAATTTGTTTTGATACAAATGGATTTGAAATTAAGGACCTTCAGGACCAGCGTCTACTTCTTCGTGGGCATCTTAATAACGGTCTTTATTAGATTTGAATGTTTCCCGACACCTCACCTGCGGCTCTTACTGCTACCACCTCGTCTTCTAAACTTTGGCACGCTCACCTCGGCCATCCGAACAATCGTCTCCTCCCAGTTCTTGCCAACAACATACATGATCTCCATAATGTTTCTTATTCTTTCGTTTGCATCTCTTGTAACATGGCCAAGAGTCACAAGCAAAAATTTAATAAAAGTCTCTTTGTTACTTCAATTCCCTTTGAACTCATTCACACTGACGTCTGAGGTTCAGCTCCGCTAAATTCTCTTGATGGGTACCGATACTACATTAATTTTATTAAAGACTTTACTCATTTTTTGTGGCTCTACCTTTTGTATTCCAAACAGGAAGCTCTCGCAAAATTTAAATCATTATGTAATCTTGTTAAAACTTAACACCTTTGCACCACCAAAATGTTATGCTCTGATGGCGGCGGCGAATTTATTAGCAATGTCGTTAAATATTATATGCAAGAATCGGGTATCACTCAGCAACTTAGTCCTCATACTCCTGAACAATACAGCTTATCCGAACAAAAGCACCGGCACATTCTCGATCTCACTTGAACCCTTCTTCACGAATCCAATCTTCTAAACAAATTATGGGCTGAAGCTCTATCAACAACTCACTATCTTATTAATTATCTTCCTTCCAAATCCAACTCCCTTCAAACACCTTATCAACACCTTCATGGACAATCTCCAAATTACTCTAATCTTTGCATTTTTGGCTGACTCTGCTTTCCCTGGCTAAAACCTTACACATCTAATAAATTCTCATCTTGATCTCACGAATATGACTTCTTAGGATACTCCACCCTTCACAAAGGTTATAAATGCTTTGATCTCACTTCGGGCAAGACTCAAATTTCTCATCATGTCGTAGAACACCTTTCCTTATAAAACCATAAACCAAACATGTGCTCCCACTCAATCCTCACCGAACAACCCCATCTCCCCTCTTCTCCTTATTCCTACATCATCTACTACCACCTCAATAGTCCCACCTCCTCCCTCAAATCAAACTCATAATCCTCCTTCTCTAGCCGTTCACACTCTTCCTCCACCAATACCACGATTCCAACTAACACTCCACCAATCACACCTTCCCCTCATCAACCCAGACAGACCAATACTCATCCCATGTTGACTCATCTTAAACTTGGAATTTCAATACCAAAGCAATTCTTTAATCTCATTAGCCACACCACGTCTCAATCTACTCTGACAACCTACAATCAAGCAGCCAAATTCGATCATTGGCGTTAAGCAATGCTTGATGAATACACAACACTTCAGAAACAGGGCACCTGGTCCCTTGTCCCCACTCCACCAGACAAACTAATCCTCAGCTGCAAATGGGCCTTCAAAATCAAACTTCTCCCTACCGGCCAAGTTGATCGCTATAAAGCACGTCTCATAGCTCTTAGCTAAGATAAAAAGTTTGGAGTGAATTTTACCAAGACTTTCAGTTCTGTTGCGAAAATGCCTACTGTTCACTCTTGCTCTTCAAAAACGTTGGCCAATGCTCCAACTTATGTCTCCAATGCTTTCTTGCATGACGATCTTCCAGACGACATCTACATGTGCTAACCACTAGGATTCGAGGACCCCATCTCTGTCTGCAAGCTTCACAAGTCACTCTAAAGCCTCAAGCAAGCACCCCGCCAATGGTTCTAGAAGCACACAAGCTTCCTTCAATCCAAAGGATTCGGGTTTAGTCATTCTGATCCCACACTTCTTCACTTTCATCAAAATAATATTCTCATTTATATACTAATCTATGTCGATGATATTCTCGTTACAAGTAACGATCAGTCCGTCATTCAACTTTTGTTAAAACAACTACACTTAGAATTCCCTCTCAAGCAACTTGGTCAAATCTCACTCTTTCTCGAAAATTCAAGTGCTCAAGACTCCAACCGGCTACTTCCTCACACAACAACACTATGCCACCAAACTTCTACAGGACGCCAGCTTCGTTGATTGCAAAGCAGCGCCCACACATGTCACGCCGAAGTCCAAACATCATCACAGTAACCCGCAGTAGTTCAACGACCCCATTCTCTACCGTAAACTAGCCGGATTACTACAATATCTCTCCATAACTCGACCCGACATCGCCTCCGCAACCAATCTAGTATGCTAATACATGCAACAACCAACCGTCCAAGATTTTCAAGAACTTAAACTTTTTCTTCGGTACATCAAAGGGACTCTATCCTTCGGTCTCCCCATCACATTCGGGGACCTCACACTAACCTCCTACACCGACGCTGACTGGGCATCCGATACTATGGATCGGAAGTCAATTTCGGGATTCTGCACCTTCTTGGGCCCTAATATAATCTCATGATCCATCAAGAAGCAAGTCACCGTTGCAAAATCTTTTACCGAATCCGAATAACGATCCCTTTTAGCTACCATTTCAGAGGTCATCTGGCTTCGTCGGCTCTTTGCAGAACTACGCATTCCACAACCATCACCGACCACGATTCACTGCGACAATGTATCTGTCATAGCTCTCGCAAAGAATCCCGTCTTCCACGTTAGAACCAAGTAGAGATCGACAAGCACTTCATTCGACAACACATCGGGACTGTCGACATAACAATCAATTATATATCCTCCACGGATCAAATTGCCAATATTCTAACAAAACCCCTATTCATTAATCGGTTTAATGATCTTCACAGTAAATTAACTATTCAACCTTCGAATGATTAATTTGAGAGAGGCTGTTAGCATTACTCTTCTCTAGCTGTTATGTATTTATCTTCATGTCATTGTATTCTTATAAATACACTTGTTGTACCGTTTTAAATAATATGAACTATCTATCTTTCAATTCCTTTTCCCTCTGTCTTCTCCGGCGAGGAGTTTCTTGGCTTGTATTCTCGCAACAATACCCCTCTCTCCAATCTCTAATTATTTTTACTATTTACTTAAGATTATCAAATGCCAAATCACTCAATTATTCTAAGATTATATTTATTATGGTAGCAATACATTAATTTGAAGATAATTAATTACTAACTACATGATTTCACAAGATCTCTTAAAGTTAATAAATATCTCTTAACCCACAAAAGTATTTAATCATATCTCTTAAAATCTCATAATAAATAGGAATCTCTATGATATCTTGTACTAAAACTTTAATGAAATAAAATTTTGTTGTATAATGTTAGCAAATTTGTTTTTTAGACACTTGCATGGTACTGGGATGTGTGCAAGTGGATTTTGAATTGACTAAATAAATAAATTTAATGTTATTTTTTATTGAAGAAATAAAATATAAACTATTTATATTAAAATATTTTGATAAAATCCTAGTTAAAATAAATATCAAATTCTTTAAATTTATTTCAAATGAATAAAATATATGAAGGTTATAGATGTCACTAAGGGTGATCATGTTACTCCATTCACCCCATGGTAAAGGATTTATATCTAAATTTTATGAGAAACTTTTCTGTTCTTATTCACAATTATTGCTAAATATTCATTATTTGCATTTAAATATTATTTTTAATTTGAAATTTCATAATAAAATCATAATTTATTTTTAACTAAATAATTAGTACCAAACCAAAAAATAAATAAACACTGAAAGTCAATAAATGATCCAACTTGCAAATCTGACCTAAACCTAACAAAAAAAAAGTTGAGTTCAGGTTAAGTTGGGTTTTTTGATTTGTTTAATAAATGGGTTAGATTCAGGTTGACTCGTAAACCCGCTTTTAAACCAAAATTGACCCTTTAGGCTTTAATATATTTTTATCATTTTTTTGGGACATTTAGGCTATTTAAGGCAAACTCATACGCACAATGCATACACAAAGACTTGAATACTAGACCTCTTATATATATTCATCAAATATCTTAAACTTTTCGGCTAATAAGTTACATTTTTTTTTAATCAAAATGGATAAGATTTGGGTCATTCTTTTTGTTAGCTGGTCGGTTTCACTTGATATTTTGACCAGTTTAATAATTAAGTCGTATTTGAATTGATCATATTTGAATTAGATAAATTTTAGATCGGATCGAACCTACAAACCCATTTTAAACTCAAATTATTCTATTCAGAAACCGGATGCAGAATATCATCCAGGAGACCAAACGAGCAAAATATGATATGTCACATTTTGATTCTTCTCAGAACGACATTAGCATCAGCATAGAATAATTAATCCCATTACCTATGCAGAAATATATAAGCATAGAATTTAAAAGACCTAGATTGATAGAATATTGTCCGATATATGTGCAACTTCAGGACGCCAATGACGAGGTGTGGAGGGGCTTTTTAGTCATTTTGCGGTCATGATGGAGGAAAAGCGGTGTGCTACAGAAAGGTCAGTCCGCGCGAATGTGGAGCTCAGTGTTCTCTGACGCCCACTTTCCCTTTTTACCCCACCATATCATGTACAAAGACCATTATACCCTCGCATCCTTCTACTTTGAACTGGCGAGTGAGAGAGGAAGGAAAGCTTTCATTTTTTCTTCTTCTTCCACCATTTCTTACAAACTCTTCTTCTTTTCAGCAGTAATCAACCATCAAATTTTGAGAGCAGGGGAGTGATCGGCGCACGTTAGCACAGGCCATGAGGGCGCATGCTAGTGTCGTTTTTGAGGTGGTGGTGTTGCTGATATGCTTCGAGGTATGGCTAGCCTGTGCGACGTCGCCGGCCAACGCCGGAGACTTGAACAAACAGTTAGCCGTATGGAAGCACCTAAGAAGGCTCAACAAACCTGCCGTGAAGAGCATTCAGGTCTCGCTTGCTTTAATCTTTGCATTCACCAATTTCCTGTCCTGCGAGCGACACTTAAATGGCTGTTTGTGATTGGATCATTGCATGTTTTCTTGGAAGTTTTTATTTTTTTCGCATTAAAGTTATGATTTTGGCTTTTTTTCTTTAGTTTTTTGAACAAAAAATGGGGAGTCCGCTTTTCCATTTCTAGCGGATTTTGCTCAAGCTGGAGCCCCTCTTTTCCTTTTTTTTTTGTATTCACAGTCAAAAGTTCCCTTTTTAATTCTGAAAAAAGGGACAGAAAAAATATAAAATCATTGTTATGTATGCAATTCACCTAACTTAATAGATTATTCAGGAATCTTTCCTTCTTCTCTCTTGTTTTACTGTTATTGTCACTTATTCACAATATTTTAGCTCTCTAAAGTACGCATTGGGTGCTTAACACAACTGTTTGTTCTGTAAATTTTGCAGAGCCCTGATGGAGATATCATAGATTGTGTAAACATAGCTCAACAGCCAGCATTTGATCACCCTTTCCTAAAAAACCACACAATTCAGGTCTCTCTATTTCTCTTTTTCTCTTATCTTTTTTGACGCTTTCCCTATGGAAGCTCCATTAAGTTTTACTTTCTATGTTCAAATTTGATAAGTTTTCCTTCATTTTTTAGTTGAGACCTGGCTTTCATCCTGAAGGCCTTTATGATGAGAGCAAGAGAGCTTCAGATGCAAGCAACAATAGACCCAATACTATAGTTCAGCTCTGGCATCAGAATGGGAGATGCCCTGAGGGCACAATACCCATAAGAAGAACAAGAAGAGATGATGTTCTCAGAGCTAGCTCAGTGAAAAGATATGGAAAAAAGAAGCAAATGAGCTTTCCAAGACTACTATTTGCAGACCCTGACTTCATCAATGAGGGTGGTCATCAAGTATGTTTCTTAGAACTTTGCTCCTTTGCAACCAAAATTCCATTTTTTTTCTTTGCTTTTTTGTATAATTAGAGTTTTTTTAATCTGCTTCCTGATTGTACATATATTTCTTGGCATTTTTGAAGCAATAGACTCTAATAAATTATCATAATGTAAAGCAATATTTCTTACAAAGCATGCTGCAGAAGGATGCCGTCCTCTAAGCATTTAAGAGAAGTTCTTTAGTAGTTCTTCCAAATCTTTTGAATTAATGATGGCATGCAATTTGAGTAAAATACATTTACTACTGGCTGCTATTTTTGATCAATAAGTCGATCAAAACTCAACAAAACTAAATTAACATAAGCTAATAGTGCAATCAATTGACCGGAATTTCTCTCGAATGGAATTGTTTACATAAGTTTGAAACCAGTGAGAAAAAAATTAGGCCTTTTTACAGTAAAGTTGTGACCTTTTGATAACGTTTCTTCTCCCTTTGAGATATTTCTTCTCTTTTTCAAAATTTTCTTCTTTTATTTGATGCAGCATGCAATTGCCTATGTAAATGGGGAGAAGTTTTATGGAGCAAAGGCAATAATAAATGTCTGGGAACCAAATATTCAATTGCCCAATGAGTTCAGCCTCTCCCAGCTCTGGATCCTGGGAGGTTCCTTTGGTCAAGATCTCAATAGTATTGAAGCAGGCTGGCTGGTAGACTCTCTATGATGTTATCCTCAACAGGCATAGAGAAAAGATCTAGTAATTTGTCATTCCACTTGCTTGGAAAATAGATCTACCAACTAATCTTATCTCTTGCTTGCAAAAATAGGTCAGCCCAGAACTCTATGGAGATAATAATACTAGGCTCTTCACTTACTGGACTGTGAGTAAATTCCCAACTGCTTCTATTCAATTTTTTATCAACATTTTCATGTTTTATAATCTATGTGAGGTAATTTGGATTTATGACTTTGAATTGACTAATCTTCATGGAAATGACAGAGTGATTCTTATCAAGCAACTGGCTGCTACAACTTGCTATGCTCTGGTTTCATCCAGATCAGTAGTGAGATAGCAATGGGAGCCAGCATCTTTCCTGTATCTCAGTATGATGGCTCGCAATATGATATCAGTATACTTGTATGGAAGGTAGATGCAAAGCACATCACTATCATATATGAAGAATAATTCTATCACAACCAGAAATCTAACAAAGAATCTTTGACTCTAACATACACAGAAAAGTGGAAAATAATACTATATTGGAAATAAAATAGGAGTTTTGTTTCTAGTATATTAGTAGTGGTCTTTGTTCATCAATTTAAATCTTTTCGGGTTGATCGGCGTGCATCCATTAATGAATTATGCTTAACTTAGGTCCTCAATGCTTCACAACTTCCTAATAAGTGGTTTCAGGGCCCTAATGGTTTGCTTCTGACAAACGTTTTGTGTGGCTCCCGCAAAACATAAGGTGTCTTCTATAATGGTTATGCAAGGTTAAAAAGTGAGTGAATTTTCATGCACATTTCATGTGATTGAGTGAGCTTTTGGTGCATGATATTTGTAGCTCTGAAAAACTTTAATTTTAGGCTTTGTTAGGTACGACTTTTTTGTTGCTCCTTAAAGCAGTTTATAGTATAAAAATTTAAATTTTTGTATTAAAAAACTGCTTTAAGAATCAATAAAAAAGCCGTCCCAAACGAAGCCTTAGTGGGATTGCTTTTCGAGATAGATGACTACCCGACAAACTTTAAGCTAAACTTATGACAGATATTCAACTGCAAAAACTGAATTTTGCATCCAAATCTTTACCAAACCAAACAATCCCTTAAAACTTTCTCTGGATCAGGATCCAAAGGAAGGCAACTGGTGGATGCAATTTGGAAGTGATTATGTTATGGGTTACTGGCCTTCTTTCCTCTTCTCTTATTTAGCTGACAGTGCATCCACTGTAGAGTGGGGAGGAGAAGTGATCAACTCTGAACCAGATGGACAGCACACTGCCACTCACATGGGCAGTGGACATTTTCCTGAAGAAGGATTTGGCAAAGCAAGCTACTTTAAGAAACTCCAGATAGTTGATGAATCTAATAATCTGAAGTCCCCAAAATGGATTAGTACATTCACAGAACAATCAAATTGCTATGATATTCAATCTAACAATAATGGAGATTGGGGTAGTTATTTCTACTTTGGTGGGCCTGGCAGAAATCCCAATTGCCAATAGAAAAAATCTTTACTTAGAGCACACTCCTTGTGTTTTTTATTAGAATTTGATGATCTCCATGTAAGTGGTTGGAGTGAAAGGCAAGGTTGCTTAGTATTTTATGTGCTTGTCTAGCTCTCCTTGCTTCTAGTGATTTGTGCAGATCTGTTGCTGTTTTCATGAAATTTTAGCATCTTTGCATTTGGAAGTGGAACTATTAGGTAAGTTTACAGGGTGTTTAAATGTTTCATTACTTGTCAGTAGGTGAATTTGTTATATTTATGCTTCAGCTTTATAAAAGGTTTTACATGTGATTGTGAAATAGTAGTTGTTGGCTACAGGATTGTGACACAAATCATATTGAGTTGGATTGGCTGCTTTTGCATGGGACTGCAAATAATGTAAACTTTGCATTAGCTACCTCGCAATTTTTACCAATTAAATAATAGAGATCTTTTCTTTCTTTCTTTCTTTGTTTCTTCTCTTGCCTCACAATTTTTCTACTTTTATTGAATATGTCATAATGTTTTGTGAATTAGTGTAGGGTTGGAAATCATAATCATTTAATTAATTAAATATATTTGAATATTTTTATAAATAAGTTTGGAAAAATTGGATTTTGATTTGTTTAAGATTATGAACAGTATGATTAAAAACTCATGAACAAGTTCTTTATGAAGTTCGATTAAAGTTCAATAATATGCTCATATATGGTTTAACTTTTTTTATCTTTTTCTTTAGATTGCAAGCTATATGTTATGCTCTTAAAAAATATTTGTTTATTTAGCAATTTATTCTACTAAAATTTTATTTTTAAGTATAATAATTTATTCATTAATAGGCTCAATAAGATTTGTTGGCCATTAAAAGAGAAGCATAATATTAAGTTAAGTGTTGCAGAGATGAGGATGATTAGGTGGATGAGTGGTTTTATCTTTAGAGATAGGATACGAAATGAGCATATACGTGAAAGGGTTGGAGTAGTTCCAATGGAAGATAATATTAGAGAGAGCCGTCTTAAATAAGATTTGTTTAGTTAACTAACAGGTTGTTCGATAGTAGTACTTATTAATAGGCTTGATAAGATTCATTTGATTAGCTAATGAATTTAGCTTAACCAAACTCAAACAGTCGTGATTTTAAACGAAATGAATTTGACCATTGTGATGAATTCTATAATGGGGCTCATGCTTGAGTATGAGTTTCAGCAAATGAGCTCAAGCTCAAGCAAGCTCCTGCTTAGCTTAGTTTATTTACAGTCTTAAATGGGTGCATTATCGTTGTCATTTCTATCATGATCATTTAGAGTTTATCTTAAGGATTTTATTTATTTTGTTTTGAATGATATTTATACAAAGAGAACTTCATATATGATATGGAACTCATAGGTACTATAAAGGCCAAAAAAATAAATAAATAAATAAAAGTTCAGCTCCTCTTTTCACTTCATTAAAGTTGCCCATCTTCTCCTTCCTCTTGACTTAGAAAATTAAGAAAGTTTTACGTGCATTATCCTTGTTACATCTTTAGATAATTAAATTTAATGATTGTGGGTTCGCTTTGATCGATTTATTGAATATGTCATAATGTTTTGTGAATTAGTGTAGGGTTGGAAATCATAATCATTTAATTAATTAAATATATTTAAATATTTTTATAAATAAGTTTGGAAAAATTGGATTTTGATTTGTTTAAGATTATGAACAGTATGATTAAAAACTCATGAACAAGTTCTTTATAAAGTTTGATTGAAGTTTAATAATATGCTCATTTATGGTTTAACTTTTTTTATCTTTTTCTTTAGATTGCAAGCTATATGTTATGCTCTTAAAAATTATTTGTTTATTTAGCAATTTATTCTACTAAAATTTTATTTTTAAGTATAATAATTTATTCATTAATAGGCTCAATAAGATTTGTTGGCCATTAAAAGAGAAGCATAATACTAAGTTAAGTGTTGCAGAGATGAGGATGCATAGGTGGATGAGTGGCTTTATCTTTAGAGATAGGATACAAAATGAGCATATACCTAAAAAGGTTGGAGTAGCTCCAGAGGTAGACCTAAAAAGATTTGGTTATAAAATATTTGAAATGATCTTTCTTTATTAGATTTAAATGAGAATTTGATTTTTATCAGGACACAATGGCGAGAAAGGATTCATGTAGCCGATCCCACGTAGTGGGACAAAGACTTGATGTTATTGTTGATGTTGTTATAGGCTCAATAAGATTTGTTTAGTTAACTAACAGGTTGTTCAATAATAGTACTTATTAATAGGCTTGATAAGATTCATTTGGTTAGCTAATGAATTTAGCTTAACCAAACTCAAACCGTCATGATTTTAAACTAGACAAATTTGACCATTGTGATGAATTCTATAATGAGGCTTGTGCTTTTCAAAAACAATTTTTTAGTAAAAAAAATTTTTGAATTAGAAAATTTTGTACTAAAAAATCAATTTTCAAAGCAATAAAAAAACCGTTCCAAACAAAACCTTAATTTATTATTATACATGTGTAGCAGATCATCTTTCTTATTCATAATGAGTTTATCATATAGTAGAGTTAACATTCTCTTAATTTATTGATGCATGAACTCTCATATAACAGAGTTCCATAAAGAAAGTCTGTGTTTAGATGAGCTGATGAGGCTGGAAGCTTTAAATGCAACTTCAGCTTAAAAGAGATGGAAATAAAGTACAGCTTTTGATGATCAATGAAGAGAAATTACTGATTATTAAATGAGCTTTTCAGTATGAAAATTTTAATTTTTAAACTAAAAAGTTGTTTTAAGAAGCAATAAAAACTCGTCCAAAATGAACTCTGAATTAAAATTTAGCTATTTGCTGGTCTCTGATCTTGTTAAGAGAAATCAAGTAGCATTTTCAGTAGAACTATGAAGAAAATTATTTGCAGCTTATGAGGGAGGAAGGTTCTTAGAAAATGCTGAAGATATATTTTTATCAGATTAACTTTTATAAGACATAATGATGAGTGAGGGAAGCATTGGCAGTGAGGAGCATCAGTGCAGCAGCTTATGGGTTGCATCATTGCGAGTGTTGAGGGTGGTTGGAGACATGCAGGAGCAATAATGATATTGTCATCAGCTTTTCAAACCACCAGAAAGCTGATAAGATTAAGGAACTGGTTGAGATTTTTTTTTTAAATCTGTTTTTCTTTTTTCTTTTTTTTTTAATTTATGGTAAAAAAAAATTTTAATGATTTAAAAAATTATATTTTACTCATAATAATTTTACAATCACATTTATAAAAATTACATTCATCCCAAATAACTTTAAGGTTTCATTTAAAACAGTTTACTGCTTCTTAAAATAAAATTTTAATATAAAATTTTTACTTTTTTATCAAAAAATTGCTTTAAGAAATAGTAAGAAAGCCGTCGCAAAAAAATTTCTTTATTTGAGATAACCTTTAGGCTTCGTTTGGGATGGCTTTCTCACTGCTTTTAAAAGTAGTTTGTAGTAAAAAATAATTTTTTTCTACAAAAAAGCTGCTTTAAGAAGTAAGAAAAAAGCCGTCCCAAATAAACCTTAGTCTTTTAACTACTTTATCATTGATTTAAAAATTTTTGTGCTTCAAAATTATTTTTAAAAAATAATAAAAAGATGGTCCCAAAGAATATCTACTCGTAATTTTTTAACAACATGATTGGAGTTTTGTGTTCAAAGAAGGTTAGAAGAAGCAAAAATAAGATGAATGAAACATAAATGAAATAATTTTTTAAGAAAAAGAAATAAATAAGATGATAGAAATACACATTAAATAATTTTTTAAGAAAAAAAAGATAAAATAAGATGAAAGAAATAGATATTAAATAATTTTTTAAAGAAAAAGAGAAATTTATAAGTTGGATAGAATTTAAGCAAAAAAAAGTAAGAGAAATATAACTACTAAAAATAATGATAATCAAAATTGTCTTACTGAACATCAGAATTATAAAAGATCCATTATTTGCACAACAGAACTTTTCTGACTTTTTTGTCTTGTAGATGTTGCATTTGAATTGGAATATAAGTAAATGAACTTAACTAAAAGAAAATTATTGTTCAGCCTTTTTCAAAAGGCAAAAAATCATAATATCAAAAAAAAAAAAAATCTATCTATGACTACTTTTACAATCAACCACAAAAAGTAAAAAAAAAAAATCTTAATTTACAACATTTTTAAGACAATCGTATAGCACAATTGGCTTATGCTTCATTTTGAAACGGCTTCTTATCATCTTAGTACTAAAATTTAATTGCAAAAAAATTTTGTATTAAAAAACTGCTTTGAAAAACAATAAGAAAGTAATCTCAAATGAAAGCTTAATCTTGATGTACAGTTTCATGATCTACATGTTGTCATGCAACATGTTACTAAGGTTTCGTTTGGGACAATTTTTTTCTTGCTTTTTAAAATAACTTTTCAATACAAATAATTTTTGACTTTGAATTTTTTGTATTGAAAAGTTGTTTTAAAAAGCAGTACAAAAGATATCCTAAACGAAACCTAACTAGAGAACAAAAACAAGGTGAACTGTATGTTCAAGATGCCACAACTGGAGAGAGAAATTAAAGGTGATCCATTCATGAAAGTTTCTTACTTTCTATTTGAAAAAGTAGTGTTGCAGAGATTACCCAGAGCCAAAAAGAACCAGCTCATCCTCTAGCCCCACCGAAATAGGAAATAGTTGCTCCAGGCCTCCGCAAAAACAGTAGAACTTGTCTCAAAGAGGATCTCTTCATAGCTCAGATTCAAACCGGAGAAAACAAATCTAGGTTCCAACTAAAATGCCATTTCTCTTCTTTCCTAAGCTACCCTGAAATCCAATTCCTTATTCACATGATAAGCTAACATTTAATTCACACGATAAACATAACAGCCACAATAGAACAAATGGCTCGTCTATATAATTAATATTAGGAGAAATTATTAGGTGCAGATACCGGACAGAGAGAATCATCCGGATTTCTCTCTGTCTATAGTAAAAGCGCAGTTACTGTAATAGCTGCGCTTTGATTGCACTTTGACTGCGCTTTTATTGTAGACAGAGAGAAATCCGGATGATTCTCTAATATCCACACGTAATAATTTGCCCTATCCTATATTAGAGCAATACTAATTTTCTTTTTTGTGAAGCAGCACACTGACACAATAAGGGCATAACATAAGCCTTTAGACAACAGAAGCAATTACAATTTACTCTGAAGAAAACTTTGATCCACAACTACCAGGCTAAATAAACGATTTCCTATTGTGTTCTACTGTTCAACTGAAGTGTAAGCATCAGAAAAGTTTAATAGCTGAAACAATAAAAAAAGCTTGGAAAACAGCTCTAATGGAAACTCAAATACAGACACAAGACAACAAAATGGATGGAGCATCACACTTTTGTCTATGGATGAATATTAATATACATTGAGACCAAGTTCTCCAAATTTACATGCTATGATCCCCTCATTTGTATCCAATCTCATACATGAAGGTCCAAAACAAATAGGCATCATGAAGAAAAGATGAACCTACGAGCATTAAAACTGATCTACAAAACACATTGAGCGTTTATTGTTATTGTGATTGTAGCCATGGAGTTCAGATAACAAAGTTCAATATCAAGAATCCAAAAGGGTTGGCCTAGTAGGAGATGATTCACCAAGAGAGACAGAAGCAAGAGAGGATGCCCATACCCGAGCGCTTTTCGCTCCTTTCTGGAAATTTCCAGTCTTGCTGGTGAGGCCGATTTTTCTCCATATCCTCTTCACATCAATTAGAAGTAGAACACGCCCCAGAAGCTGATTCAGTCCACTAAAGATGCCCAAGTCCACATGGAGATGGGTATACAGAGCCCAGGAAGCTTTGAGTTGAGAGAGAACCTTGGGGAGGAAATAAGTAAATGCCCTTAAGAAGACAAAAAGTAGAGAAAATGCTAGATAAGGTTCATTCTTTAGGAATTTCTTGGTTGTTCCCCTCCATGGCTGGAGAGCGCCTGTATTTTCCTTTCCTTGGTCAATAGAGAAATATGCAACAGGATCTTCACCTATAAACAGGTAGCAAATCAAATCAATCAGTATCAAATATACAAGAATGATGGGAAGGTACAATGGGAACCCAGATTATTCAAGTGTGTCCCGTTAAAGACAAGAGGCAAGGAAACAAGAGATGTATAGCATAGCAACTTCTCTAAACAAAGGGGAACCGTAGCCCCTGACTGTATCAGGTTCATCATAGTTTGACATAAATAATTGCCTCGAAATACAAAAAGTAACCAGCAAACAGACTGTCTAAGTATATAAACAACATGAGACCACAAATCCTCCTACAATTAAGACTTTGTTTGGGACGACTTTTTTACTGCTTTCTAAAGCAGCTTTTCAATACAAATTTTTTTAATTTAAACAACCTTTTTAATAAAAAAACTGCTTTAGAAAGCAATTAAAAAGTCGTCCCAAACGAAACCTAAATCTAGTCCCTAATAATAAGATCAGAAAACACATTATTGTGCTTATTAACTCAAGAAAATTGAGATTTTTTTTTTCATTTTTTGAATAAACTCACCTGTATGTTCTCTGTAGAAATCTACCAAGGAATCAAGATCTTTCAATCCATGATACCTTATGCTTGCTGTTCTGCTGGTCAACACAAAGGCAGGAAAACCGTGGATCCCATATCTTGAGAAAACACTGTAAAAAAGTCAAAATATGAAACTTATACTTTGTGGATATAAAATATTTGTTGATGAATGATGGGCAAACAAATCATTAAATAGAAATCAAACAGACATAATTTGTTGTAACTATACCTGGGCATTGCAGAATATTGCTCAACTGCTAAATGCCTTATTTGTGGAAACATGGAGCTGAGTGTATCAAATATGGATCTAAACTTTTGTGAGAATGGGCACCACGATGCATAGAAAAAAACTGAATAATAGGTTCCATCCTGAGCATGAGCCAACTCTTTATCAAGAGTGTCACCATTAACCTGCAATATTGGTGTGTAAAACATTGCTCAAAAGACAACTTTCCTCTATATGCACATGTTGAAGTACGGTTTTTCTTTTGTTCATTGAGAGCTTCACGTTGGGGCAGGCTAATTTTGGTTAGACATAAAGCTTCGGCAACACGAAGGCATCAATTATGCATCATGAAATAATAATTTATTCGATAGAGAATGCCAACCTGTCAACAAGCTCTACATACAAATTAAATAATAGCATTGGCCATGTCCAATCACAACATTTCTCGCAACAAAAAAAAATCAGCAATTGAATATTAAACAGCTTTCGCAATATATTTCAGGCAAAGCAACTAAAGCACAGCGTCAGATAAAACAGATTCTAGAAACTATGTCATAATAGCATACTTTTTCTATTTGACCCAACACAATTCATCAATATACTTATAATCTTAATCTGCTTCAAACAATCATTTTAGAAATTATTCTCCAACAAAACATTAGAATGGTAATTCATGAAAAATCGGATCAAGTATCTGAACTCAACCCCGGATCTTGAATCCCACAAGCACCTGATAATTCAGATGGGACTGTACAAAGAAAAAAAAAATCTAGAATTTAAAGCAAAGTTTACATAGCATAGAAATCATCCGCAAGAACTTATCAACTAGCTGCCAGAGCGTAATAAAGCTCTAATGACAATAGTATGAATATGTGCATGCTGCATCAGAGAATTTTCTTGAAATGATTTTTAAGGCCAAAATAAACTGCATGGATGCGCAAACTTCATACAAAAAACAGCCTTTACGTGCAAGTCAATGCTTCCTTAAGGTCAACCTTAATTCTAGAACCTCCTAATGTGAGATATATCATGTAAAATGATCACAAAAGCACTACAATGTGGTGTTTGCTCCAAAACTTCACCATAATTACCTTATTTCACCCTATTATTTCTTAAACCAATTTTCTTACAAAACAAAGGTAAGAAGTTATTGTTACCGTATTTAAATTATCATATGAGTTAACTATTTATTGTAAGAATTGCATTATTTATTATTGTTATATTCCCTCATTATTAAAAATATTCCTTTCATTGATTTATATTTGTTATTCTTTTATCATGTTTATATATAGGTACATGAATGTTAGCACTACTAAGACAATTTAGAAAGATGTAGTATTCTCACTTCTGAGCGTAATAGTGACAAATTAAGTAAAAGATTCAATTACAAAAATAAGGAAAAAAAAAAAAAGAGAAAGGTTAGCATGCAAATGCCAGGAAACAAAAAAAAAAAAAACAATTAGTCGAATGTAAACCTGAGAGGGAAGCCCTCTATGTTTCATATCCCTCCCTCTATGTTTCATATGATCAAAAAAACTCCATATTTTTTATAGGATTTGTTAAATTATCAAAAACTTGCTTACAATCTGAATGGGGGTGAGAAGAAAATGAAAATTTTAAACGAAGAAAAAAAAGTAAAAAAGAAAGAGAGAAAATGACCAAAATGATCCCTTAACTCTTTAGGTAGGATTAAAATGGTCCTCAACTATTTTAAAAGACCATTTTGGCCCCTCAACTCTTAAAATAGTCAAAATAGTCACACCATCTAAACTATTGGATGTTAAAATTAATGGTATTAAAATTAGCGGTATTTTTGAAATTGCCCTTTGGAATTAATTGGCCTTTTGTGAGTGGGATGTGAAACAAATGTGAAATAATATTTGAAAATTTATGAAACAAAATAGCAGTGCTTTGGAAGCTAATAAGAACTTATGAGATGATGAAATAAATTTGCTCAATTAATTATTGAATATTTTTATCACTAATATTTGTTAGAACAGATCTAAAGATTGTGCACTGTGACTTGTGCATTTGCTCCACTGGTCCTACTACTTGTATGAATTCGCCAAGCTACAATCTCAAATCTTCCCACATATTTTATTTTGTATGCATTTGCCTCCTTATACATGGCCACTTCTGCCGCTTCCATAAAACATCCACACATCGGCTCTTCAAAAGCCCCCTCTTCATCGACTATGGAGCAACATAAGCTACACAAGAAGCCTGCCTTTGCAACCAAAATTTCCAACAACCTATTTGCTTACTCCTCACAATCAATAATAAATTGCTTGTAGAACTTTCATTTTATTCTAGCCATCAACCACCTAACCATGATCACCTTGCTAGTAGTGCCAAACTCTTCATTGATTTCCTTTCCTATAACTCAAGCTTCTCTCCATCTTATCAACCTAATAACTTTTAATTACAAATCTTTTATTGTGCCATATTCAACACCATAAACCTTACGTAACGGCAGGCACCATTAATTTCCGACATACTTCTTCAGGATCATCTTTTATCCCCCCCTCAAATTTCAATGTCAATAGATTAAGCACAAAAAAAGATGCCAGCATATTATGTAGATCATATCATCCCTTAAAGGAGCATGTGCTTGCAGACATCAATCTTACTCATATGAATGTAATAAACTTAATAGATGATAATATACATATTATCGAAGAAAGCATATCGAATCTAATGTGTTTAATTCATATAAAAATGTTAATAATGATAATGTTCATCATCACATTACGCCGACTCATTAGAGGTGTTACAATGGCCAGTCCTGCGAGCCAAAAAAAGTGTAGGATTGCCAAGACATAGGTTTAAGCGGGCTTGCGCGAGGCTTGGCCACACCAGAGCTTGCACGGCTTGAAAGGTCTAGGCCACATTGGCTTAGATTAAGTTATCCTTAAACTATGCCTAAAGAACTAAACAAGCTTCCTACAAGACAAGTTAAATCATAGAAAGCATCACAAAATTACACAAAAGGAATAATCGTTAACTCATAACTTAAATTGGGTCGACATAAAACATCTCAAACAACAACCCTCATAATAAGTATGCAATGTTATCCTAGAATGGTTGAAATTCAAAAAGATCTAAGATAGGAAAGAAATTCAAAATCCAACAATCAACGCTCTCATAAATCACAAAGAGAGATAAGCATGATTTATTTCATAAAATATGATAGGAATTAGATTTGTGCACAGCCAAAAACAGCAATAACAAAGAGAAAACGCATAAGAAATCAACAAGAAAGAATAATATTATGGGCTAATTTTATTGATATCAGCAAAATAAACCAAGATACAAGTTAATCTACTATTTGAGAGATTGATCGACACTCCACAAATCCTAGGCTCCAATAGAGAAAACTCCAAAACATCAAATCACATAATAAAAATAAAACAACCTAATTAATCCAAAATAAACCTTCCTAATTCCCTCCCAAATCTGAATTAAAATCAGTCATCTTTCCCTAAATAAACCATCCTAATTCCCTCCCAAATCTAAATTCAAACCAGCCTATTTTCCCAAGTAAACCTTCATAATTCCCTCTTTATTTTGGTTTTCTATAGGAATTAAAGGTAGAATTAATCCTCTTTGAGCCCCCTCTCTCCTTGCCTGTAGCCCACACTGGTGGGCCCTATAGGCCTCTTCCAATCGGCAGCTAGACTGGCCCCCTTGTTAGGGCCTGGTTGATTGGCTGGAATGGCTTAGCAGTTCCATTAATACTCCCCTCCCAAAGAGCCGCCTTGACCTCAAGGTAGAATGAAAAAAAACTACTATTGAATCATCCAGTATAGTTTCCATGTTGTTTCATAGTCAGGCAGATCCTTTCACTCGATCAACACTTCCTCGGTTGAGACACATGAAATACTAGATGTCTGGTGGAAGTAGGGGGTAGCTGCAAACGATGTGCCACGGTACCAATCCTCTCCACGACCTCCTAAGGCCCATAGTACCATGGAGATAACTTTTCATTTTGAAGGGTGTAATCTATGTTGCACTAAGGTAAGATGTATTGTACCAATACTCGACCTAAGGTAACCACTTCACCAAAGTTTTGGGTGTTTCTAATACAAAATATCTCAAAATAATCTCCATACTCCTGTTCACCACCATGGTCTACCCATTAGCCTATGAATGATATATTGTACTTCTATTCAAAATGGTCCTCTGCATCCTGAATAACACTCTCTAGAAGTTGCTCAGGAACACTTCTCAATACTGTTGTAGGAGTGGTTGAACCATATCTGGTGCTTCTATCTTCTCCCCATCCTCTTCTCCTTCCAAATTATGCAGCTTAACCAAAAATCCACTCTTTCTCCCTGAATTGCACTCACCATGATTTTAAATGAAACCATAATTTTGGACATACTAGAATCCCCTCTAATAACTACTCCCCTCCCCTCAACCTTGAACTCCATCATTAGAGCCTTCCAATCAATCTTAATCTTCCCTAACTTTTGCAGCCACTCCATTCCTACTATCATATATGTGCTCCCCAAATCCAATGGCAGGAAGTCTTCCAATAACTAAACCTCTGAAAGGATTAAAATCACCTCTTTGCAAATTCCTCTACTATTATATATTTTTCTTGTTCCCAACATAACCCCAAACCCCTCATGTCTACTAATTATAGTCCCAACTGATCCACCATCCCGTTGGAAATGAAGTTGTGGGTAGCTCCACTATCCACCAGTACTACCACCTCCTGATGCCCGATCCTCCCCTTAACATTCATGGTGTGGTTCGATGTGAACTTGACCACTGTGTTAAGGGATACCTTTGCAACATCTAGGTGCAGGTGATCATCTTCCTCCTCTACCTCCTCCTCTCCAGCATCTTCCTCCTCATCACAGTCTATTAGGATCTATAACGAATGGTCTTTATAACGATGGCCTGGAACTTGAACGAACTTCTCATCAAACCTAAAGCATAAATCCATGGCGCTCATCTCCTAAATTTCTAACTCCGTCAACCTCTTGAAGTTCCCCATGGTTGAACTCCTTCACCTTTATCCCTTGGGGCATCCTTCTGAATAAGCATTATTTGCACCTTTGGTGCCAGAAATGTAGTGGTTGTGCAATATTCGAGAATTGATGCTATGGCTACTCCTCTCCAAGGAGTTATTATCCTCCATCAGCTAGACTAACTTCATAGCCTTCCATAAGCCGTGTGGTCTCAATACTCGAATATCAAACTTGAGCCCCTTTATAAAGTTCCCCTCTAGCGCAGTCTCTGACAACCTTCTCAATTGGATTGAGAAGTACTCAAACTTCTTCCGGTACTCTATCATCGTCCCCTCATGCACCAAAGCAAAGAACTATTTATAAAAATCTCCTTTCGGATATGTTATAGTATATGGTCTTTGAACTCTCTCCAAATTGGATCGAATCTCACAAGTCTCTCCAGTAGTACCAAAACAAAGTCTTACCCTCTAGACATAGAGCAGCCACAGAGAGTTGTTCATCTTCCATCAAGCCATTAACTGTAAAATATTGCTCCACCCTATAAATCCACCCATGAGCATCTTCTCTCTAAAAAATCGGCATCTTCAACTTTCTCACCCTAAGATCATCACCATCCCAATTGCTTCTTCCTCCTCCAGTATAGCGAGTGTTGTGATCCCTCCATAATTCCATCTCCCCCAAATCAGCTCTCCAATCTTCACCATCCCAATTTATTCACCGGCCATACCCTTTATCCATTCCCCTCCTTGGAAGTGACTCCAAAGATGTCATCTCCTCTTATTCCCCAAAAATTTTCACCTCCCGATCCTCCCACATCATCACTATATTAGGATTATCCCTACTTCCTTATTCGGACAACGGTGCACTTACCTCCCATGATGTTGCCTTGGCTTGAAACTCTAATATCTTTTTCATCATCTCTTTCATATTCAAAATTGTATCATCAATTGCTGAAATTCACTCTATGAATTCATATTTAGGATTTTCAACTTCCCCATAAAGTCTTTCCTCCAACGCATCAACCTTCTTAGCCGTCATAGGTCCCAAAAAAAGGTGCTCTGATGCAAATTTGATAAGAATTTGATCTCCACAAACAAAAATAGCAATAACAAAGTAAAAACACAGTAGAAATCAGCGAGAAAGAATGATATTATAGGCTAATTTTATTGATATCGGCACAACAAACCTAGAACAAATTAATCAACTATTCCAGAGGTAGATCAAAAACAGAGATTAAAATATTAAAAAAAAGAGAGGTAGATCGACTCTCTACAAATCCTAGGAGCCGCTAAGAACAAATCCAAAAAAAAATTACTCCAAAATATCAAATCACATAATGAAAATAAAACAACCTAATTAATCCTAAATAAACATTCCTAATTCCCTCCCAAATCTGAATTCAAATAAATTATATTTCCCTAAATAAACCTTCATAATTCCCTCCCAAATCTGAATTCAAATCAACCATCTTTCCCTAAACAAACCTTTATAATTCCCTCCCAATTTTAGTTTTCTATGGTACGTAATTAAAGGTAGAATTAATCCCCTTTGAGCCCCCCTCTCTCCTTGCCTTCCGCCCACACTAATGGGCCCCACAAGGCTCTTCTGCCCGCCAGCTAGACTGGCCCCCCTTGCTAGGGTTGGGTTGATTGGCTGGACCGACTTACGGAATATTTGTTGATTTTTCCATAAGAAACCCAAAACAAGGGGACAATTAGTATATTTTTAAAAATAATAATCCTAAATTGGTCTTTTTCATCTGATCATAAAGGCTGGATTTCACGCTTTTTGATTCCCAATCTCCTAAGAGATGTGGTAAGGCAAGCTAATGATCCTTCAAAATCTGCACCATTAAATTGCCTTAAGATTCATGACAACTCTCCAATCAAATCAATACTAATCTCAATTCTCAAGGCTTCATTTGGGTTGTCTATGGATGAATATTAATATACATTGAGACCAAGTTCTCCAAATTTACATGCTATGATCCCCTCATTTGTGTCCAATCTCATACATGAAGATCCAAAACAAATAGACATCATGAAGAAAAGATGAACCTACGAGCATTAAAACTGATCTACAAAACACATTGAGCGTTTATTGTTATTGTGATTGTAGCCATGGAGTTCAGATAACAAAGTTCAATATCAAGAATCCAAAAGGGTTGGCCTAGTAGGAGATGATTCACCAAGAGAGACAGAAGCAAGAGAGGATGCCCATACCCGAGCGCTTTTCGCTCCTTTCTGGAAATTTCCAGTCTTGCTGGTGAGGCCGATTTTTCTCCATATCCTCTTCACATCAATTAGAAGTAGAACACGCCCCAGAAGCTGATTCAGTCCACTAAAGATGCCCAAGTCCACATGGAGATTGGTATACAGAGCCCAGGAAGCTTTGAGTTGAAAGATAACCTTGGGGAGGAAATAAGTAAATGCCCTTAAGAAGACAAAAAGTAGAGAAAATGCTAGATAAGGTTCATTCTTTAGGAATTCCTTAGTTGTTCCCCTCCATGGCTGGAGAGCGCCTGTATTTTCCTTTCCTTGGTCAATAGAGAAATATGCAACAGGATCTTCACCTATAAACAGGTAGCAAATCAAATCAATCAGTATCAAATATACAAGAATGATGGGAAGGTACAATGGGAACCCAGATTATTCAAGTGTGTCCCGTTAAAGACAAGAGGCAAGGAAACAAGAGATGTATAGCATAGCAACTTCTCTAAACAAAGGGGAACCGTAGCCCCTGACTGTATCAGGTTCATCATAGTTTGACATAAATAATTGCCTCGAAATACAAAAAGTAACCAGCAAACAGACTGTCTAAGTATATAAACAACATGAGACCACAAATCCTCCTACAATTAAGACTTTGTTTGGGACGACTTTTTTACTGCTTTCTAAAGCAGCTTTTCAGTATAAATTTTTTTAGTTTAAACAACTTTTGTACTAAAAAAACTGCTTTAGAAAGCAGTTAGAAAGCCGTCCCAAACGAAGCCTAAATCTAATCCCTAATAATAAGATCAGAAAACACATTATTGTGCTTATTAACTCAAGAAAATTGAGATTTTTTTTTTCATTTTTTGAATAAACTCACCTGTATGTTCTCTGTAGAAATCTACCAAGGAATCAAGATCTTTCAATCCATGATACCTTATGCTTGCTGTTCTGCTGGTCAACACAAAGGCAGGAAAACCGTGGATCCCATATCTTGAGAAAACACTGTAAAAAAGCCAAAATATGAAACATACTTTGTGGATATAAAATATTTGTTGATGAATGATGGGCAAACAAATCATTAAATAGAAATCAAACAGACATAATTTGTTGTAACTATACCTGGGCATTGCAGAATATTGTTCAACTGCTAAATGCCTTATTTGTGGAAACATGGAGCTGAGTGTATCAAATATGGATCTAAACTTTTGTGAGAATGGGCACCACGATGCATAGAAAAAAACTGAATAATAGGTTCCATCCTGAGCATGAGCCAACTCTTTATCGAGAATGTCACCATTAACCTGCCATATTGGGGTGTAAAACATTGCTCAAAAGACCAAACACAATTCATCAATATACTTATAATCTAATGTTTTGTTTGGGACAGTTTTTGTACTATTTTTTAAAACGGTTTTCTAGTATAAAATTTTCAAAATTTTCAAATTTAAAATTTTTGTACTAGAAAGTTGTTTTAGAAAGCAAGAAGAAAGCCATCCCAAACGAAGCCTTAATCTGCTTCAAGCAATCATTTTAGAAATTATTCTCCAACAAAACATTAGAATGGTAATTCATGAAAAATCGGATCAAGGATCTGAATTCAGCCCAGGATCTTGAATCCCACAAGCACCTGATAATTCAGATGGTACTGTACAAAGAAAAAAAAAATCTAAAACTCAAAGCATAGTTTACATAATTACATAGCATAAAAATCATCCGCAAGAACTTATCAATTAGCTGCTTGAGCGTAATAAAGCTCTAATGACAATAGTATGAATAAAGTGCTTGGATGTGCAAACTTGATACAAAAATCAGCCTTTACATGCAATTCAATGCTTCCTTAAGGTCAACCTTAATTCTAGAACCTCCTGAGATATATCATGTAAAATGATCACAAAAGCACTACAATGTGGTGTTTGCTCTGAAACTTCACCATAATTACCTTATTTCATCCTATTATTTCTTAAACCAATTTTCTTCCAAAAGAAAGGTAAGAAGTTATTGTTACCGTATTTAAATTATCATATGAGTTAACTATTTATTGTAAGAATTGCATTATTTATTATTGCTATATTTCCTCATTATTAAAAATATTCCATTTATTGATTTCAATTTGCTATTCTTTTATCATGTTTATATATAGGTACATGAATGTTAACACTAATAAGACAATTTAGAAATATGTAGTATTCTCACTTCTGAGCGTAATAGTGACTAATTAAGTAAAAGATTCAATTACAAAAACAAAAACAAGAAAAAAGAGAGAAGTTAGCATGCAAATGTCAGCAAACAAAGAAATAAACAATTAGTCGAATGCAAAACCTGAGAGGGTAGTCCTCTATGTTTCATATGGTCCAAAAAACTCCATAATTTTTTATAGGAATTGTTAAATTATCAAAAACTTGCTTACAATCTGAATGGGGGTGAGAAGAAAATGAAAATTTTAAGCAAAGAAAAAAGGAAAAAAAAGAGAGAAAATGACCACAATGATCCCTTAAATCTTTACGTAGGACCAAAATGGTCCTCAACTATGTTAAAAGACCATTTTGGCCCCTCAACTCCTAAAAAAACCAAAATAGTCCCCCCATCCAAACTATTTGATGTTAAAATTAATGGTGTTAAAATTACGGGTATTTTTGGAATTGACCTTTGGAATTAATTGGCCTTTTATGAGTGGGATGTGAAACAAGTGTGAAATAATACTTGACAAATTATGAAACAAAATAGCAGTGCTTTGGAAGCTAATAAGAACTTATGAGATGATGAAATAAATTTGCTCAATTAATTAGTGAATATTTTTATCACTAATATTTGTTAGAACAGATCTAAGGATTGCTCACTGTGACTTGTGCTTTTGCTCCTTTGGTCCTACTACTTGTAAGAATTTGCCACGCTACAATCTTAGATCTTCCCACATATTTTATTTTGTATGCATTTGCCTCCTTATACATGGCCAGTTGGCCACTTCCGCTGCTTCCATAAAACATCCAAACATCGGCTCTTCAAAAGCCCCCTCTTCATCGACTATGGAGCAACATAACTGATAGGACTTGAGGATCAAAACAACACATAATAATATAAAAAATAACAAGTCACTCCAAATATATTCAGAAATAACACAAAGAGAGTTGTTTTTACTAATACCAAGCAAAACAAGACAAGATACAAGTTGATTCACTGTTCGAGATGTGAATCGTTTCTCCCACAATTCCTAGCAGCTAATAGGAACCCAAAACCTCACAAAAACTGCTGCAGAAATTCCAAACATAACATAAAAAACCCCAACCCACCATAATCTCCCCCCTTAAATAGCTCAAAAGCCCCCTAATAAATGCCCCTTATATCTTTACCAAAGAATCCCCTCCCAAAGACTCTTCTCCTATAGGTGATAAAAGAGGTCCTGGGCCCCACCTATGCAGCTGGACTGCTGCTGCCACCTGTATCAATAACCTACACCAGAAGCCTGTCTCTACAACCAAAATTTCCTACAACCTCTTTGCTTACTCCTCACAATCAATAATAAATTCTTTGTAGAACTTTCATTTTATCTAGCCATCAACCACCTAACCTTGATCATCTTGCTAGTAGTGCCACACTCTTTGTTGATATTCTTCCTATAACTCAAGCTTCTCTCCATCTTATCAACCTAATAACTTTTAAATGCAAATCTTTTATTGCGTCATATTCAACACCAAAAACTTTTCATAAGGGCAGGCACCATTAATTGCTGACATACTTCTTCACGATCATCTTCTATCCACCACTCAAATTTCAATGTCAATAGATTAAGCACAAACAAAAGATGTCAACATATTATGTAGATCATATTGTCCCTTAAAGAAGCATGTGCTTGTGGACATCAATATGACTCTTATGAATGTAATAAACTTAATAGATGATAGCATACATATTCTCGAAGAAAGCATATCGAATCTAATGTGTTTCATTCATATAAAATTTTTAATAATGATATGTTCATCATCACATTACGCCGACTCATTAGAGGTGTTACAATGTCCAATCCTGCAAGCCAAAGGCAGTGTAGGATTGCCAAGACATAGGTTTAAGCGGGCTTGCATGAGACTTGACAACGCCAGAGCTTGCACGACTCGAAAGGTCTTGGCCACCTTGACTTAGATTAAGTTATTCTTAAACTATGCCTAAAGAACTAAACAAGCTTCCTACAAGACAAGTTAAATCAAAGAAAGCATCAAAAAATTACACAAAAGGAATAATCATTAACTCAGCACTTAAATTGGGTCGACATATGACATCCCAAACAACAACCCTCATAATAAGTATGCAATGTTATCCTAGAATGATTGGAGTTCAAAACGATCTAAGATAGGAATGAAATTCAAAATCCAACAATCAACACTTCTCATGAATTACAAAGAGAGACAAACTTAAGCATTGATTTATTTCATAGAATATGATAAGAATCCAATATGTACACAACAAAAAACAACAATAACAAAGAGAAAACGCAGTAGAAATCAACAAGAAAGAATAATATTATAGGTTAATTTTATTGATATCAGCACAACAAACTAAGATACAAGTTAAGCTACTATTTAAGAGATAGATCGACTCTCCACAAACTCTAGGCGCTGCTAGGAAAAACTCCAAAGAAAATTACTCCAAAACACCAAATCACATAATAAAAATAAAACAACTAATTAATCCAAAATAAACCTTCCTAATTCCCTCTCAAATCTAAATTAAAATCAGTCATCTTTTCCTAAATAAACCATCCAAATTTACTCCCAAATCTGAATTCAAATCAACCTTTTTTCCCCAAGTAAACCTTCCTAATTTCCTCTCAATTTAGATTTTCTATAGTAATTAAAGGTAGAATTACACCCTTTGAGCCCCCTCTCTTCTTAACTGTAGCCCACACTGGTGGGCCCTATAGGCCTCTTCCACCCGCCAGCTAGACTGGACCCCTTACTGGGGCCTGGTTGATTGGTTGGATTGGCTTAGCCGGTCCATTAATACTCCCCTCCCAAAGAGCTACCTTGACCTCAAGGTGGAATGAAGAAAACTACTGCTGAATCTTCCAGTACGGTTTCCATGTTGCTTCATAGTCGGGCAAATCCTTTCACTCGATCAACACTTCTCTAGCTTCTCTGGTTGCCGAGCGAACTCCTCTCACTTCCATTGGCTCCAGGATCAACTTCATTTCTTCTGTCAAGGTCATCGGCAGCGTTGCTGATAGATTGTGTTCGCCAATAACTTTCCTAGGCTGAGACGCATGAAATACTGGATGTCGGGTGGAAGTCGGCGGTAGCTGCAAACGATATGCAATGGTACCAGTCCTCTCCATAAACTGCTACGGCCCATACTATCGTGGAGATAACTTTTCATTTCTTCTTCGAGCTAAGGTCTTCTCTCTGTAGGGTCAAATCTTCAAAAACACCTTATCACTCACCTTGAACTACACATCCCTTCTATGCCCATTAGCTTGCTTCTTCATAATTTGTTCTACCCTCAATAGGTGCCCCTTTAGCTCTCCCAATATCCTATCCCATTCCTCCAACTATTGTTTGATTGATGAAACTAGAGTGCTCTTGGTCCCATAATATACTAGTTAAGGAAGGCCTTTTCCATAAAGGATTTTGAAGGGTGTAGTCTATGCTGCACTAAGGTAATTTACATGTACCAGTATTCGATCTAAGGTAACCACTTCATCCAAATTTTGGGTGTTTCTGATACAAAATATCTCAAACAATTCTACATGCTCCTGTTCACCACCTTGGTCTATCCATCAGGTTATGGATGATATATTTTACTTCTCTTCAAAAAGGTCCTCTACATCCTGAATAACTCTTTCTAGAAGTGGCCCAGGAACACTTCTCGAGATTGTTGTAGGAGTGGTTGAACCATGTATAGTGCTTCTATCTTCTCCCCATCCTCTTCTCCTTCCAAATTATGCAGCTTAACTAAAAATCCACTCTTTCTCCCTAGATTGCCCTCACCATAGTTTTGAGTGAAATCAAAATTTTGGACAGACTTGAATCCCCTCTAATAACTACTCCCCTCCCCTCAACCTTGAACTTCATCATTAGAGCCTTCCAATCAATCTTGATCTTCCCTAACTTCTGCAGCCATTCCATTCCTACTATCACATATGTGCTCCCCAAATCTAATGGCAGAAAGTTTTCAAATACCTAAACCTTTGGAAGGCACACAAAATGCCCTTCCTAGGATAAAGAAAATACATCAAATTCTCAAAAAGCTGACAAACTACAATTTAAACGACAAACAATAAACTTTTTAAATAAAACATGACACTTACAACAAAGGACGCTTACAAACCCTTAAATAAAAGCTTCTAAAGTTGCATTTCTTGAATGAGAAGACAGGTACTGATGGGGTGGATACTTGAGGGAAGAAGAATGAGATTAGAAGCCGAGACAAAGAGAGGAGAAGCTCGCAAGCCTTCCCAAGAAGTAGAAGAAGAAGAAGTAGATTAAGCTCTCAAGCTTTCCAAAAACCCTCAGGTTTTCATGTCAAAAAATCACATTATATCACTCTTGAATCTTGACTTCGTATTTCTTCATAATCACATCTCGTTCTCGTATGAATTGGTCCTGCAGAAATTTCCTTTTCTTCACGAATTTCTATGTACTCATATGCAATTTCTTCTGTAATTTATATAACTCATTTTGGAGTGGGTCTGTTGATCTTCCCTCTGTCAGAACCTAACTGTCCATTGGAGTTTCGAAAGTTGGATCAACTAACTGATTATCTTCCATGACAAACTCAATTTTTTCGTGATTTTCCATTATTCTAAACACTTAAAAAAGACACGAAACAACCTAAGAAGACACAAACCTAGGCTCTGATACCAAATTGATGCAAGCAAAAATTTGAGGTTTTTCTCAAATTTTTGCTTGCATCAAGTGAAAGCCGTCCCAAAACGAAGCCTTAGATACCACCCAAGATATATGACATCAACATGAAATTTTATCTAAATAATGAACATAACTTATAGCATCTGACAAATATCACTAAACCTAACACATATCATTTGTCTAATGAAAATGATATCTTGATACCATCGAAATAAAAATAAAAATGAACCAAACAGGTTCTAGAAGCAAAGAAATAGATGTAAAACAACTAACCCAATCTAACCTCCATACGAAAATGATGTGTGCACGTTAAACCTAAATATTTACTCCAAAACCTAAAAACCAATGAAAGACAGCTCCTAAATCATTGAATCTTCTTATATGAATAGATGATCATCAAAAAGATCAACATTTTTTTTTCTTTTGCAGTCTTTTCCGGTACGCCCCGCCACACCTCAGTTCATTACATCAAAATTCCTGGAAATAAGGATAAAAGCTAGCAATATATGTCAGCTCAAGAACATCTGGGAAGGAAAAGAGCAACTAAAGAAGCCATAGCGAAACATAAGATAACTCCAGCACCTATTCAACATCTATCCTTGGAAAATTACAGTCAAACTCAGACAAATAACAGTAAATTTCTCGCATTGAATACACAAAACGTCACAAAGTTAACATACGGCACACAATTTTACAATCCCTTTCCCCAAAATTTTCCCTTCAAAGTAAGAGTATCATAAAATAAATGAACAACCCGCTGATAAATTAAAAGCATTAGTTACCCCCGGCAAAGAAAAATCCAAACCCCCATGAAACAAAATGAAAACCCAATTGACCAGAAGCCCGAGCTGAGAAAAATCTCAAGCCACCAGAGATAACTCAGCTCAAAGTCGCCCACTTTCAAAGCTAGCATGAACAAAACAATTTATTGTAATCTAATCATAAAATTATCAAACGCGTTTCAATGAAAACCTAGAAAACACAACGCACATCCATAGAGCTTGAATGGGAGAAAGCTCGGCAGATCATACCTCGTCAGAAAAAGAACGCTCGATCCAAAGAGGGCACTGCGGCGATCTCAGAGCTTCCACTACTCCGACTACGTCCGATCGAGGACAGATCAGCGGCGCCGCAAAAGAACCGCGACAAAGTGTTAAAGCTAGAAATGAGAAGGGGAGCAGGAAGACGACGAGACAGCGAGATACCGACATAGATGGAAAGAAAATCGCTCCAAGGGGAGATGTGATGAGAAATCGAACTGAAAATTCTGGAACTGCCTCTCTCTCTGTCTCTTTCTCTATTCCCCCCAAAATTAATCGCTTTAACGCTCGGGCTGATGAAGCTCCCCACGACCAAACAATGCTGGACAGGTTGACCACTAGATTTACGAAAGTACCCTCGGAAAGCATGAGCCAAGCCAACATCAGATTTTTTTTAATAATATATTGATTATCAATATCTAGAATTAATTTATATTTTGGAGTCTATTTAATTTTACCTTCAATAAAGTTATTTTTTAATTTTAAATGGTGTTTTACTTTTTATCACATTGTAATTTTTAATAATTTATTTTAATGATTCAATCTTAATTCTTCATATTATTTTTTTATTATAAATTTAATAAATTTACTATAAAATATTGATAATTATTATAAGTTAGAATACTCACTAATTTAAAAAGGAGGACATATCATCTTAGTATTTTATAAAGATTATATATATATATATAGGGCTGCAAGCGAACTAAACGTTCGACGAGCTACTCGTTGTTCGGTTCGATTAAAGCTCGTTTGTGACCATTTAATTAACTAAACAAACAAACTTGAAAACCATTGAACTCAAACCTCTGGCTTCTTTTCAATTCCTTGTCCAATTATGTAATTCTATGAGATAAATCTATGGATATAGAAAAAAACCCTTGGTATAAGAATCCAAATAAACCTTATACGTCATCACAAAATTAGGCTTGATCGGGCAACTGAATCTCGAGCAAACGCTAGTTGAAACTTCAAAAAATTAAACTCCGGAGTAATATGAACTTCCGATTTCAGCGAGCTTACAGTCAAACTGAGCGTCGGAAATACGAAACCCAACGATCACCAAGATCGACCAATACGAGCCCAAATGAGTCTGAATCAAGGGCTCAAAGGCTGTTGGAAGGTTCAAACAGAATTTGAGTTACCAAACGGACTCCCGATTTTGACGAGCTTATACTCGAATTCGAGGGCTTCGAGAGACGAATCACGAGCCCAAGATCACAGAATTTTCGACATCAATAGGCCTCCAAAATGGGCACGCAACGAACGGGTGCTATGGTCATATAGTTCAATATCGGCCGTCGCATTTGACCACTCGCCTATTCCGCCCTTGATTCATCGCCTATTTTACGGGCCTGCCACTCCAGAAAATCTATAAAAAAATAGAGCCCTTCATTTCTTCACAAGAAGGATCGAAGCAAAGAGAGAAAAGAGAGAAGAGGAATGGAAGGAGGGCTTCCTCCTGAACAGCCTCCGGAAACCGGCGAACCTCGCCGACCACCCTGCGTACGAGACCTCGCCAAGTGAATACGTCGACCGACCAGGCAAACTACTACGGACCAATCGCGCAAGGAATCTCGCGGACCCCGCAGAACCTCGCCGACCACCGCAGGAGTGATCTCGTCGGGACACCGCAGGAATCTCGTCGGACCACCACAAAACCTCGCTGGACCACCGCCTTAGACCCGACGTTCATCCTCAACATCTGCCAAAGACCGACTGTTCATACCCCATCGTCGAACATCCTGCCGCAAGATGACCGACAGTCTTTGGTTCAAGGCCCTGACTAACTCACAGTCCTACATCTCCTGCTCAAAGACCCGACGTCTTGTTTCAAGGGCCTACGACGTTAGTCCCTATCGTCCTGAGCCATGTAAGACCGACGTCTTGTCTTAAAGGGGAACCCGATCCTTAAGCTCCAGGCACCGTAGACTCTCGAACTCCTGTTAATACTGGGCTCTCTCCAAGCTCGGATTCAAACTGGGATAAATCTCAAACGACACATAGACAGCGCGGCGGCGACCGGACTTCCTATCCTCCTAACCCGTCCTACTCAGGCATAATCACTTCCAGTGGACCTGGATTACACGCTACTCTGGTCGCTCGACTCTCCGATCTTTATTCCAGTAGATCAACGTTTCAGACTCAACAGGCCTACTCTACGGTCTTCGTCTTCGTCGCTATCCCATCCATCACACAGAACAACTGAGTCTTTCTGACCCCAAGTCTCTCCTGCCGCCTACGCGTCATTCGTGTCTCGACCACACTTGCCGATCCTACAGACAACGGTTCTTGTTCTGACCCGCCCTGGACGGCCTTGCGACCGTCTACAGTCCCGACTGAGGTCCTACAGACAAAGCCTGATATGTAACTACCTATCCATGTATATAGCTTAATCGTATATATGATGTAACATCTGTAGGCTACTCAATCCAAGGCCTTCCGCTAAGGAAGGGCCTCAATTTGTAATCGACTCACAACATACTAGTGGATATCATTTCAAACTGGGCCAGGCCCGTGGGTTTTTCCCCCTTTTCAGGGGTTTTCCACGTAAAAACTCTCTTGGTGTCCTCTTATGAATGCTACACCCTCTTCACTTATCTGCTTGTGTGCTGGATTTTCGTACAATGCTAAACGCTAAACTAAATATTTCTCTACCGCCGCGAATATTCCAGAACGAACAAACTAAATCAAATTACTTACAGTAAAAAATCACGCCGACTCCTATGAGCCTATTTTGCTTATTTGTTTGGAATTGTAATGTGTCTCATTCATATGCTGAATGAATGAGAAATACTATATATGGACTTTGCGAATGTTCTAGCGACAGCAACATGATCAAGAGAATAGAGTTTGATTGTTTAAAACACTTAGTTAGTAATTAAAACGACTGCCATATGAATCCTATTTTAGTCCAAAAAGTGAAATTTGATGAGGATGAACCTATATATATATTATATACCTTGAGTATACTATACTATACTATACATAAATAAGGATGAAAATAGAGATAGAGGGGCTTGTGTGCCAAATATAATAAACAGAGTAGCGGAGGCCCGAGTGTATGGTGAGGTGTTCATGGTGTCTCGTGTTCCCTCTCTCATAATAGCTATAGATCATCGTACTAAGTTTGATTGCTACGCTCATAAATGCTTTTTCGAAGCCTGTCTTATATAGTTAGTTGTTCATGTGTTGAACGCCGGAAATTTATCAGGTATTATTTTAAATCTCAGGTATTGAGAAAATTGAATTTGAGTGTTCAGGTTCTGAGTATACAATGGTTCGAGAGTCATGTTCGGTTAGCCTTATGAGCTATCGTTCGCGGGGTATTTATATTTTATTTAAAAATAATTGATATTTCTCTCTCAAAACTATCTCAAAAAAACTCTGAAGTAATCTTATGATACACTCTATATTCTAAATGAATATTTGGCACAGGTTTATAATAGACCAAATCACAATTAATATATCTGAGTTTAACATTAATTCTCCTTAATAGTTCAAAATAATTTAGAGAATTATATTTTAATCGAGCTTATTCACGATTCAAAATTCTGGAACGTAGAAATGCAGACTGTCTTCTTAATTGATACTGAAAGCATTGCTGTATATAGATTGCGTTAACTTAATGATGTTGTATTTGCGACATTCGCTCAAATGAGCTGGGGGAACGCATTAGTTTTCAGGCGTTTGTTTATTTAAGGAATCTAGATAATTAAAATATTTTTCAGTTTGTTTGTGTGTTAGTCTAACTTAAACGATCACAACAGTTTAATCGACGAACAACGAGTAGCTCGTCGAACCTTTTTGGTTCGCGTTGCAGCCATATATATATATATATATATATATATATATATATATATTATTAATTAATAATATAATCTTTATTAAAATCTAAGATGATTTATGTCCCTCTTTTTTAAGTCCGGTGAGTATTTAACTTATATTGATACGTCATTCACAAAAATTATCATTGATCGGGCACGGAATTCGGGCAGAGAATTTGCGCTTCAGGCGAACTTCAAAAAGAGTATGAGACATGTCCCGGGGCATCTGAACTCCGATTTCAGCGAGCTCTAACAGGTCACATGAGCGTCTTCGGAGATGATGCGAACCCAACGGCACCAAAGATTCAACCCAATCCAAGTCCCAAATGAGTCGAAATCCAAAGTGGGTTCAAGCGCCGTTGGAAGGTTCAAAACCGCAATTTGAGTTACCAAACGGTCTATCGCGCGATTTTGCAACGAGATGTATACTGCGAACTCTGGAAGGGCTTCGACGTGCGAACTCCTACCTTGAGGCAAGATCATCACAATTACAAGATCATTAAGGCCAATTCATGTCCATCGAACGGGATGATCAAAGGATTCGTAATCGGCCGTCCATTCAAACCACTCCTGTTTTGCCCTTGTCTCGCGCCTATTTACTGCTATGCGACTCCAGAAAACTATAATAGAGGCCCTCGATTTTCCGTGAAACGGGGACTCAATGTTGAGGAGAGCAGAAGAAGAAAGAGAGTGAGAAGGAGTGTACAAGATGGGAATAGGGGCAGAGAGGTGTCCTCACCCTCCTCGCAGCAGACCACCTTCGCCGGAAGTTTTTTCCTTGCCCGCCTTTGGAGACGCCGGAACCTCTGCGGATTTTCAGGAAATATCGCAGGGAAATTCGCAGGGATTGGAATTTGTTGGAAGAGATAAGGTGTAATTGGCTCTCGTAAATGTCTTAGTGCGCGAAGAGCGTTGCTGGCGGGAAGAAATGGCGCGATGGAGGGGCCATAATGATAGAGAGAAGAGAAGTAGTTGGTAATCACAAAAACGAAGTTGAAATTTGCAAGCTGCAAGGGCCGCCGGTTGGTTTTTGCCATTGTGTAGACTTTTCTCCACGAGATAAAAACTCTTGGTGTTACGAACTACGTAACGTATCTCTACTTCTGTTTTTGTGGTCTTATTAACTTGCGACGAGCGCTAACGATTCTGATGACAGTGGTGACATTTAGACGTCCTACCGCCCGCGTGTATTTTCTTAACCAACGCAGACAATAATATTATCGAATATTTTATAGTAAATTTATTAAAATTCTATAATAAAAAAAAATAATATCAAGAATTAAGATTGAATTAAAATAAATTATTAAAAAATTACAATGTTGATAAAAAGTAAAACACCATTTAAAATTAAAATTAACTTATTGAAAGTAAAATTAAATAGACTCCAAATATTAATTAATTTAAGATATGATAATCAATATATTTATAAAAAAATCTGATGTTGGCTTTTGCTCATGC